TCCGATCTCTGGAATTTTTTCAAAAGTTGCTTCCGCTTGTGAAAAGTTCTGCTCAAGTCTTGGCTATTGAACAGCGAAAATCGCAGGTCTTTATCTCATTCCTATCAAAAGTTATTCAAAAAGCAACCAGCGGTCTGACCATTTGAAACGGATAGTACTATCGTATTTTCCATCGTTTATGCGCTTTAAATCGCGACGAGCTCATTACGCAAACACCAGTCAGTATTAGGAGATCTGAGAGACTTAATGTTAATCTGAATCCTTTGCAGTTCGTTGTATCGTTTACCACTCTAACTAATGTTCAGTATTCCTTTTTCTATTCTACTTCTTCTGATTGGAATAATCTACCATCGTATGTTGCTTCAGCACCTACTGTGAAACCTTTTAAAAGCAATTTAAAATTGTACTTGAGTCTAATCTGTTATCTACATATGTGTTATTTTTCTATCAGGTGTATGTCTACTAGAACTCTTTTATTGTTGTTGTTACAAGCCCTCAGGCTTTTTGATGTACCTCCTTTGCAACAATGTAACATCTTTTATTATTCCTGTTTCTTTGTTGCAATAAATATAAAAGAAAAGAAAGATAGAGAACGCTGATGTACTCTCAGATGTTGATGATTTTAATAAATCAATTTTATCTAATTATAATAAACGGTTTAATGCATGCACACGTTGTTGCAGCGTTATAGACAGGAATGAATGTTCTAAATTTCACTAACACCATTGAAAATTTGTAAACATAGTTGAATTCTAAATCAACTGACTCAAATGCACTGGATAGTAATGATAAAGTACTAGTAGCCGTCGTAAGAGTTTCTGTTGTTGATGGTAAAAAAAGACGCTGTAATATCCATTGTTTCAGATTTAGCTTTTCGATTTGTCATTATTAGATAGATACAGTTTTAGTTAACTAATTTTTAGTTTAATAAAGTAATGATATTTGATATATAATATACTATTTCTGAATGATATAAATATGACACTTCTGATTCACAACAAATGTTTATCGAATATGTATCTACATGAAATTTTTCAATATTTCAACAACATTTTATAAAGAATATTAAGATTTTTTTAAATTACCGTTAATCTTTTAAAAAGACACGACTAAACTCTTGAGATCTTGAATGAACAATGCGCATTTATGGTAATATAAAAGAAAATTGTTTGAGAACAAATCGCATATAGTTTGCAGTCGCCGCTTAAATTTATTGGAAAATACATATGGAAAATAAAGTTAACACAGACGTTAAAGTGTAAAACACTGCAAATATAAAAATACGAGAAACAATAATAGTCATTCATTCGAGTTTTTTAACATTCAGATATGAGAAGAAATTAAACATGAATTCAGAAAAGAAAATTTAACAAAAAAAAACAGAAAAACTTTATAACTTAAACAACCAACAAGTTTTCTTATTCAATTTCTTCAACAATACGTTCACGATTGTAAGCAGCTGCACTAAGTTGAATCAGACCATAATCAAGACATAACTGGACAATATCATCGGCTATTTTACGATTCTTTAAACAAATAATACATTCAAGATTTTAGGTGAAGTACAAAAATGTTAACGATTTATTTGAAGGTCATCAAGGATTTGTAAAGAAAACATCGTATAATACCGTTTGACAATTAGGAAGTGATTCTTTAAAATCCACTTATTTGTCTCGAATATCTTTCACAGAAAACTGCTGTATTACTTACTCTGTTTTAAGGACCTATTTTTTTGAGCGATTAACAAACTACGAAACTCAACTAGATGTTACCAGCCTCGAGACCTTGCGTCAAAGATCATATGTTTTCATTATTCAAAATCCCCAAGCTCTCTGCTGAGCTTTTTGTATCAGACGTAATCAGTTTTCTCTGCTGTAGTCGAAACTAGTTCTAGGAGTGGTCAAAATCAGTAAAAAAGTATCGGGCTTGGTAAAGCTTGGTGAAAATTGATGTGTATTTTTTAATAAGCTTTACCAAGCCCGGTACTCTTTTACTGATTTGACCACTCCTAGCACTAGTTTCGGTTACAGCAGAGAAAACTGGTTACGTTTGACACAAAAACTCGACAGAGAGCTTGGAAATTTTGAATAATGAAAACATGTGATTTTTGACGCAAGGTCTCGAGGCTTGTAACATCCCTAAGCTCAACATAATTGCATAACGTATGCTCGATGTAAATGTGTCAAAATGTAGCGAAATTCCTATACATTATTCTTACCTTTTCAATAATTATTTGTTGATCCGTCATTCTAGTTATAGTAAATAATATATCCATTAAATCTGTCTCAACAATTTTCACTGCAAACTCTTTTTTTGCTTTAATAATATTTCTGATAATATAAAGTGCACGAAATTGAATATCATTATTTGAGCAAGCACACAATTGTTTAAATATTTCAATAAATGATTTTACCTAGAAGAATATTGTTGTTAAAGAAAATAACATATCATAATTAAAATATGTTCAATGCTAGAGCACCATACTTCTAAAATTTTATTGCATATAATGTAATTGTCTTCAATCAATAATTCCAATCTTTTTCGTTCATCCGGTTCTAAATTTAATTCTTGAATATGTTCTATATCAGCATTTAATGATGATAGTGATGCCAATGCACCAGATGATGCTTTTATTAGCGCTTCATCTTCTTCACCACAATAAAGAACTAATAATTTGATACGATCATTTTCCGATGTAAAATATTTTACAACCTGTAATGAATATTTTGAATATAATAATTCTATTAATATCACGAGAAATATGTTTACCTCATCTTGAATAGTCATGTTGCAAATACATTCCGTTGCAGCACGACGAAGTTGATCATGTTCTTCATACATATAATGCTCGATACTAGTAAAACCGCCATCTTTTAAAATACGTTTTCTAAATAAAAATACAAACAAAATATTTCTTTATGTATAAGATAAAAATAAATTATTGCTTTTACCTGACACTTTCTCCAATACTAGCTAAATTTGTTAATGCCATTAATGCTTCAAAATTTTCTAGTGCTGTATGTTCGGGTTTTAATAATTTTATTATTGGACGAACAACTTCAAGCATCTAGTAATAAAGAATAAAAAGTATTTTAGTTAGATAAATAGAAATTGTTAAATAACATACACGTTGTCCAGGAAATGCTATTTCTGGATTGGTTGTTATCGCTATTTTTGCCAACGTTTGAGCTGCTTTTGTTGCACCTATTGATGTTCCATCTAACGCCAATGGTAATAATGCCTAAGAAAAAAGTAAATCCTAATTTAGATGATCAAATAAAATAATCGATACAAGTTCACATACTTTACCACCACCAGCAGCTACAATTGTTCCACGATGTTGTTCATTTTCACATAAACCGAGAAAAATTCTAAAGTACCATAAAAATTAAGTAAATATGTGTTTATTTTCATTTTCTCTTCTCTACCTTGTCAGCTGTTCGCGACAATTTTCACTTTTATGTTTACACATATTAACTAGTATAGGTACAATGCCAGCTTCAACAAGTTTATTTCGTCGTTTATCTACAAATTCTTTTACATCCTAAAGAAATGAAAATAGTTTCAATTTTGAAAAAAATTAAATTTAGTTTTCATTTACCTTTGGATGGTCTTCTGGTACATGTTGTTTGGCATATTTTGCTAATTCAATCAATTGTTCATCTGGCTTTTTAATATCGTATGTATTCGTCAAATTAACAAAGATAGAAACGATTGAGTATAGAATATGTGACTCTTCAGACTAAAAGATAAACACACTATGAGATCTTATTCAGTTTTATTTTGATTTTTTTTTACTTTTGATAGCTCAAATAATGCTTTTAGTGCTGCTTGATTATTAACTAAATCTTCTTTGACATCGGCATCAAGTGTTAAATAAGCTAGACCATCAGCTGACCAACGACGAATATTCAAATTTTTATTTGATGTCAAAAATCTGAAAGATTAACACACTTCAGCAAACAGAAAATATTCTTATGTATAACAATGACTTACCGTGAACATGCTTTGGCTAATGTCTGACAAGAACCTTCGGTAACTAATTGAGCACTCGTATCTGTACCCTTGCTAGAGGCTATTTTCGATAAACCCTAAAGAAGTAAAATATCATGTTTTATCTCTGTAAAACAATAATTGATATACATACAACAAGTGCCAAAACTTTAATTTGTTCATTTGGTGATGCATAAAGATTTTTTAATATATCAGCACCCAATGACAAAATGCCTGCCGCTTTATCTTTTTTTGATGCTGATAACACAACAGCTTCAACAGCAACACGCTAAAAGATGGACTAACTTATTGTAAAAATCAGCAAAAATAACAATAAATCTCACATTTTATTTTACAGATGAAAGATAAGAACGTATCAAAGCAACAGTTTAGATTCATCTTACTATTAAGGAAGCTTATCCCACATTTGTTTTGTTTTTATCTTTTAGAGTAGATTTCTGCGAAACTACGTGAGCCGAACATTTTCTCTCAAATCCATGTGCCGCATGTTCAAAACTCTACTTCAGAAAGAGATATTAAATTCTGTCTATCATAGTTCCATCAAATAATTATTGGTCATCAGAAACTTTACTTGTAAAATTCGTTCATAGATATTTTTTTTCTTACTTCTTGCAATGGATCTCCGGAACTAGCCATGATTAACATTAAATCAACCAAATTCAACCCACCTAAAATTGCGTTACCCGTATCGAATGGACCCTATAAGGCAAACATTTAAGTTTTAGTATAATATCCTACATATAACTCTAACACTGGTGAAACTTTTTGTAATTTTCTTCGAGCATAATTGTTCGAAGAAGAGCCTACGACCATATAAAATTGTTCTAACAACTATCATTGTTATACAAACAGAGCAAATATCAACAAAAAGTTTCAATTAGAAGTTTATTTCTATCTTATAATTTGTTTAAAACAATTTTTCATTACATTTAGAAGAGTCAATCTTTATTAATGCAAATCTACTTGCGTACGCCAACGGTTATTAATAGAAAATTCTGAGAATGGTAGAAATGACGAGAAATTCTACTGGGAAAAAACATTTCTTTGACAGTACATATTTCTAGAATATTTTTTTCCGATCGCTGCAATCTTCGAGCTTACTAGTAGATTGTGTAACTCTGAATAGATTTTACGCTCTAGTAACAAAGAGACTCCTCATAATAAGACAGAATAATGTTTCACAAGGAAATGTTACTACAAATGAACTAGTTTAAACAGTTCAGTACGCGTGCTTACTTGTAATAGAACAGCTAAAACAGATATTGTCTGTATACGCGCTCGGACATCATCATTTTGTCGTAATGCCCTAGAAAAACCAATTGTAAAAAAGCGATTAAAAGAAACGCTTATGACAGCATATACTTGACGAATTCAATACATTCATTGTTAAAATCTTCTCGTTCTTGGTCTGAACAACAATCATGATAAATAACACTTAGCACACATGATATATGCATTTTTGTATGCTCTGTTATTGGATATGGTTTACTATCAGGTAATTCGGGTACAGAAGCTGCAACTCGAAGAACTTTTGGTATACCTATAATAATGGACGAAAAAAATGTAAAATAGAAAAAATAATCATTCAAACAACGTTACCGGATAAAATAAATTTCGTTGTCCAATTACATCCATTTGCGCGATCAATAAATTTAACAATCAAATCAAGACAATTATCCCGAGAAATTCCTGAATATGCTTTATCGTCAATCAAATTACATAACATACGAAATACATCATCGATAAACGCCAGTACTTGCGGTTCTAAATCGTAAAAACAGCATATAAAATTGAATAAAAAATAATTTTAGATATAGTATACCAAAATTGAATGGTACATTAACAGCTTTTTTGATTTTTCGCCGATTTTCTAAATCACATATTGACAAAATTATATCATGTAATAAAATAGCTGATAATGTTGATATTTCTTGATCATCTGTTGCCAACAAGCGTGATATCTGATTTAAACCGATTTTATCTAATACTAAATTAGCCTACAATAGAGCAAATGTAGATATCCAAGAATAGCCGACTAATCATTTTAACTTACACGTGAATAAGAACGTTTAACAATCGATGACAATAGACGAATGGTGCCTGATACAGTTATTCGTTCAGTGCTTTGAATAAACTGAGTTATATTTTTAAAATCAATATCATACTTGACAATTGCTTCCGATCCTGATTCTTCACGTGAAAGGACAACTAAATTTCTCAGTGCCTAAAATCAAAAGAATATTCTATACTAACTGTTTACAGTGCCTGACCAAACATAATCCTGTTCCCTCAAGAGAAACAATTTCAAAAGAACTACTCCCTAACATTCAAACCTTCTTGACTTTTGACGTAAGACAAAGTCTAAACCTTCTAAGACATATAAAGTTTGGAAAATCGAAATAAATGCCAACAAAAACTAGGGAAATGAGCATTTACCTTTTAAACTCTTTTGTGGATTTCTCGTGTACAATAAAGTGAGAAGTGGATTACATGCTTTCATGCAAGATATACACTACAAACATTCACTGAAAATTAAGAGAACAGGATATATATGAACAGGCACTAGAAGAATGAGAGAAAAGATGCCATGAGAAGTGGACAACTTACATCTTCCTGTTGAGCAAGTGATGACGATGCATCTGAAACCGCTTCAAACATCTGTCGAACTTGTCCAAGTGTTAAATTCTGTTCTGAATGCTAAAAAGATAAAAAATAGCATAGCTCATCACTTAATTATCAATAAAAGTATTCATTCGTAAAGTACTATTTTTCAGAGCTAAGGTCATTCACTCTTTCTTTCATACCCTCGACTGACAACTTAGTCTCTCAAGTCTTAAACTTTGTAGAAACAGACTTATGTGGTGAGACATACCTTACTATATACAGTTTCTGTCAATTTTCTCAGTAGATCATTTGTTTGTTTATTATTTTGATTTCTGTTTATTGATATCAAACGCTGAGCATCAGATATTGCTTCATTCAGTTTTCCCATACGTTCAAATGCATTTGCACGACGATATAACGATTTTGTGTCTGCTGGAGTATATTCTAATGCTGAAAAAGTAAGATTAAAGATTAAGCTTTCTATTTTAAAAAAAAATATTTTACTATATACCTTTCGTTGCATCATCCACAGCATCCTCATATTGAGCAATGTTTATATAACATTGAGAACGATTACTAAAATAAATTGAAGTACAACTAAGTTTTTGATATTCATTACACAAGTTACCTGTAACATTTTGCTATATTATCCTTGTTTTCTTTATTTGCTGAATCAAATATATTTATTGCTTCTGTGTAACGATCGATTGCCTTCATATAATTCCCTTCTTTGAATGCTTGATTACCTTGTTCACGTAATTCACTGGACATAGTTTAAACTTAATGACTTAGATAATCTAAAAACAAATGCATTTTTAAACGAAAAGAATATAAATAATTCATCCATTATTCTTATCATTTAAATCGATAATACATATTGAACAAAAGTATAGATGGCTCATCATTTTCAACATCTTTTGGTATACCGTTATATACTGATCTGACTAGATTGTGCTCTATTAGTCAACACATAGAACTTCTTTCTTTTGGTCTTTTTAAAATACAAGTCAGAGGTGCCAGATATTTCTTATTTACATCATTTCTTCCTAAAACATCTCTTCGGAGGGACAAAACTTGTCTATTATTGAAAGTTTCAGGAAATTTCCATTAGTTCTACAGTGGGTGAAACAAAAGAAGCAGAAGAAGACTATAATGACAAAGAGAACAATAGAGCTGAACAAAATAGCTAAACAGCTAGAATATAAGAAAAAGTTCATAAACGCCCCAACTGATTTCATTCTCGCAAATCAAAACCCATGTGAAAATCATAATATGGTTTGTTTCTTGATTTCTATATGGCATGGCCACATAACTCTACTACCGCAGTGTCCTTCTGTAACGGTTATGTGAGAGAAATAAGAGAAACCGTTACAGAAGGACACTGCCGTATACTCAAATACTGGAATTCGTATGTATGAAGCACTGCCGGGTAGTCATCTGAAATTTCTTGTCCTGTGAACTTGTTTCAATTGGACTCAAAATTCAATATAGTATAATACTATGTACATGTTTTTATCAGAAAATGATATTTGGAAAAGTCTGTTCTAGAGAATATTGTCTAGAATAAAAATGTGTTTATTTATTCCTTCACATGAGTTATGTATAACAAATCAGGCTTTCTTTGTTAGTGTAAACTAATACTAAATTTCTCTATCATCACTTCTATCCCTAGTATCTGTTAAAATCTCCTAAAAACAGTAAGTTAAACTAAAGCATTTCCGATGAATACTCCTACGCATATAACATACCTTATCGTGAGAGAAAGAACATCAGTGTTTTTCTTCAAAAAGCTTATATTCGCTCATACTGATCGAAATACCAGTGCGTTGTCATCATATCAGTTTAAGATAAATTTTAGCAATGCGTTCCTCGTTGTTATTGCTATATTGTTTATTATTCATCGCTAAATTTACATCATCCGTCAACTCTGCTCCACTGTCGAATATACTTCTGCCTGGTGCATCTTCATTAGCGTCTAGTAATGATAAACGAGAACAATCAGTATCAAAGAACGACGATGGAATAATTCATTTAAATGTAAAGGAAAACAGTTTTACTCCTGAAGAAGAATATGCTTATATCGATACATGTGTGAAAAAATGCATAGAATCAGACAACATGGATAACACATCGAATGGTAGAACAAATTGTATACAACAAGAATGTAGAATATATCAAAGACGACGATGACATGTAAACAACAAATTTTGTTTCTACTGTCGTTTTTTAAATTAAATATGATCACAAACGCAGATGTTTTTTAAATTGAAATTCGCTAAATCTCCATTGCAAAGTAGCAGCGATACCGTTCTGACGCTTGCAGAAACACTAACAAACTGCACCATGGCATTTCACAGATACTTTTGAATGCTTATTAACTTTTATCGCAAACCGACATCGAAACGGTAGGAAGCCATGTTTCTAATGATCATTGTCAGTTAAGATTTATGTGCTCGAAAGTGTTCTAAAAGTTTAAATTTGTATTTCACTTTGCACGGTATTGTTTCTTGTCTAGTTTTTTTGTGAAAACGCAGAAAGGTAGTCGCACAGAGAAAGTTTTCCCTTAATTCAACAATGTTTTAAATTTTAAACTGATAAAAGATTTTAAAAAATGAACATCTTCAGTTCTTTTTTCGAATGTCTAGATCAAAAACGCACATATCTGAAAATATATTGTCCAGTCGCGGTATAGATGACAATAAACAGGATACGAATGACCAATATCGATCACCAGCTGTTTAAACATCGGAATAAGGTTACAAAATACCGGTATTTTTCACTATGTTGTAGTGATAATACAACACAAAAACAGATTGAAAGTCGGATTTTGCAAAATGAAGGACCAATTTACTATCAGAGACCACCTCTGTACTTGAGGGTATCAGACGAACTGTAAGATATGCCGTTCATCTGAGGATGTATTTTGTAACCTCGTCAATTATTCCTTCACGATATCTACAAGTATGTACACAAATTGTGTGTATATGTAAGGTGCTCGAATGACTGATGATCATTAAAAAGCTGATTTTAGTTGACGCTCATCCATCGCCAGATCGAAAAGACCTTTACCTCAGATTAAGAAATATTAAAATATCTCGAGAAATTTGAAGTTGAGGACTCACGAAAAAAACTCTGAAAAGTTCCAACACTCGAGTAATCAACTGAAACCACGTTTTTCGATCTGTTGGTAGTCAGCCATCGAATTACTGGCTTCCGGTTTATGTATTGCTATAAATGCCGACCGAATATTTTCGATTTTTGATTCGTTAGCCAATCGAAATCACCGAAATTAATGCACTTATTCATCAAAACAAGTTACAATACAACCTATTGTCAGTCGATAAGTGATTGATCAGAAAGTAAGATGTCACAGCCTTTATTCAAACAACGAAAATAATCGAAAAATTCTTAATCCTCTTCTGATTGGTTAATCTGCCATTTTTTTGTACAAGGTTTATCGTGTCTGTTATACTCCGTTCGTGAAAGTAAAATTCCATCCTTGTGTTGTAAACATTTGTCTATTATATTGAATTTTCTATATAAATTCATGAAAAGTGACGAACATAGTGATAGTCAGTCACAAGTACTTCTTATAACAAAGTATACTCGTATAGATATAATGTATGTCTCTTTTGAAAACTGCGTACATACTTTGGATATAGTCAAGTCTACACTTTTAAATTTTGGTTTACACTCTTTTATCGCATGATCCAATCTAAAGGTACAATTTTTTAAAATTTATCATCATCTTAGTTCTCTTTCTATTTTTTATTAAATCCTATATTCTGATCGCTCTTCATTATGCTGCTATCATTCGAAACACGTTCATATTCTAGCTCCTGTAAACGGTTTTTCTCCTCACACAGTTTTTTTTTAAAATTTTTCGATGCATCTATTACCGACTGGAATAAACTTTCAGAATCGGTCCTCTGTCTTTCTTTTCTGTCTTCGTTCAAAACAGCATTAACCAAAACTCACCGTAACTTTCAGCCATATTCCTAGTCAACTCTATCGGTATTATTCCTTTTTTTTTGGTTTATTTATATAGTTCTTTTTTTATTTTTCGTATATCTATTCGCTGTGTCTCCGGTTTTCTTGTTTTGTTAACTATTCATCGCTTCAAATTTTACTGTTCGGCTTGAGTCATTGTTATTATAGATTGGGGGTCTTTGATGACTCTCAGTTTTTGTGAACAAATATTATTATTATTAAAGATCGAAGGCCAGTAGTGTTTGAACGTATGATTACTATTGATAGGTGATATACGAAGGTGAGCTGAATAATTATTATTAAATTAAATCTGTGACTCGGTGAATGCTGTGTAATACGCGTCTAATGCGATTAGTTACTACAACCACATCGGTTTTTAATGATCGTATTCATTAGCAGAAAGAAGGATAAGAGATAATAACAACAATAGTATAAATGAATTTACAGAGGCGCAGCGGAAGATTATTCTAACCTTCTTCATGAAACCGAAGTCACATTCATTCTAACGTCTTACTTTTTCAAATAACTGAAGACAATTAATGAAAAGTTATTTCTTTTAAATAGTTAACATACTAAAGAGTCTTCAGAATACAGAGTTGCTAACTTTTTGGAATTTTTTTATTTTTGAGACCTTTCCAAATTTTAATGATTTCTACTTTTTTCTTTTGAGCATAGAAAGGATGTACTCTTCCTACTGGTCTGACATAATCTTTTAAAAGGACGGACTAATAACTTAAAATACTACATTTCACTTCATGTTAGGTTTACTTTTTTCTCTTAAGAAAATCACGTTTGACGGAGAACAGATATAGCTCATCCAAAGAGAATATGTCACTTTCTATTATTTGAATAATAGCAACTATAAATAGACCTTATGAGTTTTGCTATTCTCATTCCAACTTTTTAGATTTTGAGAGATTTTATCTCACGCGAGCAACCCTGTCAGGGCGATCGTGTTTGAAAGGGAGAAATGAGCAAGCGAAATTCTGTGTATATGTGATAACCAACTTTTCTTTTCGACTGTTCTCAACATGTAACGGGCCCGCCCGCTTTGTTGAATCAAATAAACTATGTTTAGATCAAATTCCGAGTCTCATTTGTGAGAGAAAAAAGGCTGTTTCCTCTATTCTATGAATTCATCTCATTCTAAGTATTTTTTGAAAAAGAAATCCTAAGTGCGTTTAACCTAACTAGACTACTCTTTTAGAGTACATAACTACTATACAGTTGTGCATTTGTAGATGTTTTTCTCGATAAGTTTCGATTGCTGCCAACGTATGATTGAACAAGAAGCAATGTTGAACTGGGCTCAGAAGGATGATCGGTGGATCGGATTGCCAAGCAGGTAATATATGAGAATTGTAAATTTATAAAAGTCCTCTTTTCTTTTTGTTTACGATGTTATTTGCTTTATGTATCTACTTTACAGGCTTAATTTTATTCATAGTGCAATAATGAGGTATGTTTTGATACGATTTTGCTTAATTTTCTTTTTCTCCAACAATATGACGACTGAGGAAACATATGTTTTTACTTGAGCTAAGCTATGGAAGCGAAGTGTGTCTTTACTTTCTTACATCGAACTTGTCCATAAAATAATTAGATAATTTCTTCTCCAGATTCGCTTGCTACTTCACCCTTATACGCATAATAGTACGTAGTACATAGAATTTAACAATGGTTTTCACTTCTACACCAGACTTCTTAGTAAATTAGACGAACATTTTTCGTTACGTTGCGTTAAACAACCATGTGATACACAACCATAAATATTGTCGAAT